ACCTCTATTGTTGATCATTTGATACTGGTCAATCTCATGAGAAGTGATTACTGTCTTTTCTCTGCATAGTAATAGGAAGTAGAGCGAATACCTGTTCAAGATTATTGGTTGAAGCTTATAATCCTATCTAGTATCTCCTAGCTATTCATCTTTTAAGAGATTGACAAAGCACACATTTCTATTGGCAGGACACTATCGAAAACAAAGACAATGCTTGTGCAGACTTTATCAGTCGCTTAAACAACTCTTTGGCTGTTTGGACAAACAGATTGCCTGTCAAAGCGAGGTAATGTTACTCGATATTAATTTGTTAATACTGAAATATGTGGTTTGAAAAGTTGACTGCTTCCTGCGAAACCCCCGTCTCTTTTCCACCATCTCATTGAACCCTTATTTCTCATATCTAAGTGTGAGAGATTTGTTATCTAGGATAGTAAACTGGTACAGATAAGTTCTAAATATGGGATTAATTTATCTTTACTTACCAATTACCAAAAATAAAAGCATTAACATCCACATGGTATTGTTTTTTTAGATGAATAAATCCAGAATGTGAGGTAAGAAATCATTTGTTCTTTATTTTCTTAAAATAGTATAGGGATGGAGACAAATAAGCTTCCTGTGTCTGCTACCTAGATTTAAATATTTGATGTTCCTATTTCGCATTTAGTGAATTTAAATGGGGCTGGGAATACTATGGAGTGGAAATGCTCTTTGTTTTCAGTGTCATTAATATATTTAATTACACCTTCTATATCTAGGCAAAACATACTAGTGTCATCTATACCCAGGAGCTGAATTTCTTTCTTGACCCTTCCTAGCTATTAAGGGTAAAGACCAACAAATTTGTTCAATTTCTTGTCTTTTACATGGATCCTGGAACAAACTGTTAAGATAAATCATCATATAAAATGGACACAACTTTTGGAGACAACGATAAACTACGTTACTCATTCCTAAGATCATATCTAGTTGGTATAAGACTTCAACTTTGTTTGTAATGCCATCTTTATGAATATATCTTATTCCAGTTCCAAAAAAATAAATACTTCAACCCTGTTCATTAGCTAGTGTCATCTCAACTATGCTTCAATCCCTAACTAAAAAGGGGTTGTTTATAGGAATCCTTTGTTGGCTGCATAAATTCCTTGAATTATTTCCAATCTATTCATGTCTAAGTATCCGAAGGATTCATATTAACCTACCAAACCTTTCCCATTTTCTAGGGTTGAGACTGGCCATGGTTAGCAGAACTCATATTAGGTGCATCTTACCATTTGTAAAGGTCGATTGGCCAAATAGACACCTATACATGTACCAATTTATTTTGTTGCTCCCCTAATCTATGGGATTTCATCCAAACACTTCGACTTGATCAAAATAAGTCTTTCAAATGCCTCTAACCTTGCGAGTTCCACATTCACCTTGACGTGGATTACTTATCATATCCACATCAGACAAACTCCTGATACGTCATCTTCTTCAACCAACACCAAACAAATCCTCTTCCTCCTTCACTTCCCCTGTACATCTCCCCTTATTTTATAAAGTCAGCCAGAAAATAAACTAATCATCACAATAAACAACCAAGAAATACCACAATTTTCAACTAAATCCATACAAACAAATTTCCACATCCTAAACTCCCTTTTCCTCCTACTGTTTTCTCACATTTCTTTTACTTCAATGTGTCGAATGTTAGCAGAATTTCCAAATATTTTTTTCTGTCGCCGGAAACACAGAAAGAGTTACTGCCAGTTACCAGTTCAGATGACTCATCTGGGTCTTTCGCTTGCTATCTGATTCCTGCCTACAAGCCCCAAAGCCTTCACCCTTACAGAAACCTGTTATTCTCTCTTCCTTTCCCTGCATCATTACCACTTCAAATTTCAAAATCAAACCAAGAGTCAAATCATCATAGTAGCTGTTCAATGATTCAATCTCCACCATCAACAACAACCAACACATAAAAGTCCCCGTCTGATTTTCTGGTGAAGGAGATAATAGAATTGAAGGACGTGAGAATAGTTGGGTAAAGGAACTGAAGAGTTGCAATGAGAGTGTTGTACTTTTACCTTGTCCAATTCAGCCTAATTATACCACACATAAGCTCGTCAACTGTCACGAGGACTTGTTTTGATCAAGCTGAAGTATTTGGATGAAAAATGCGGTTGGGAATACAAAGTTACAAATCAATGCGAGTAAAGGTGTCTCTTTGGTACTCGGCCTTAAAATTCAAAATAATAGTTTGGTGCATGGATGTTATAAAGAGAGAATTGTTGCATGTAGTAATTAATATTTTCACTATTTTGTTGTCTATGTTTCTACTGCCCTTAGAGTGTGTTAACTTATGGCCCTAGGTCACCTAAAATCTTCTCACCTATGGTTAAATCAGTAGAGCTTTATGTCAACTGGTTTATATTGAGGTGTAAATCATTCCATAAAACATGAAAATTTGACATGATCCTTGAATGCTTTAAGTCCATTTATTCTATGCTTAAGCACCTAAAGTAACAAGTTTGAGCTAATGGATGTTTATTGTCGTCTCTAGGGTGGTTTATTCGAAAATGGCTGAGGAGATATGCAGTTTGCTGCTTTCTGGTAGCGGTAGAAGTTCATCAAATGAGGTACAGCTAAGCTGCTACGATACCATATTCAAAGCACCCATACCTGAAGATACACGCGCATACCATTTGCAGGATGCTGTGTCACTTTTTACATCTTACCTTTCTGAGGTGTCGTCATAGCTCTCTTTTTCAAGCCCCATAACTCGATTTTAACAACGAAATTTTGTATGTTTATACGTCATAAAAATGTCAACATTTGTGTAGTAACAACCAATTCTGTTATAATCCTTCTCCCCTAGGACTTCTGTTACCTTTGTTAGTTTGTGTATTCATTCATAAGTAGATCCTGTACTTATAAAAGTTTGGGTTTTGCTGGACAAGTTTGAATTGCGGTTTAATGAATGTTTACAATGTATCCGAATCTGATTTGGATTAATTGTACTTGCACGTTAACATGCTTTTGGCGAGCCCCAAAGTTTTGGTTATTTGGCTATAAGTTACATTTAGTACCGTAAGTATTCTTTCACATACTTTTATATGATGAAAGTGGCAAGGGCTCATTTGATTTGAAATAAGTTATACGGACAAGGGCCTAAAATACCCTTAAAGTATTGAAAATACCAAATTACCTCTTCATTCATCTATTGGCTCCAAAATGCCATTTTCATTCACTTATTGGCTCCAAAATATCCTTGTCATTCACCTTTGTGTTTAAAATTGACCACTTTTTTAATTGTTTTAAAATTAAACTCTTTAAATATTTTTTTTAAAAATACTTGGCGTTCAATTATTGATTATTATTATAATTTATTAATATAATTTATAAACTAAACCACTACACACTCATTACTAACTAAACTTCACCCAATTAATAATCCAATTATAATATCAAAATCGTCATAAATACTACTAAAACAATATGAAATTATAGATTTCTGAAAATGACATTCAAAATTATTCGAATCCGAATCGGAGCTCCAATTAAATTTAGGTTGAGCCGTTTATTTAGGAGGACACTTTCTTTCAAAATAAAATTAGAAATTTATGATTAAAGGTAAAGAAGTAATACATCCCGAATTTATTCATGCATTTTTTTTAAAGATAATTTTATAAATATTTATGATTTGTTTTAAAACTCTAATATATTATTTTGAAAAAAAGTTACCTATGAAGTAACATTACATAATTGAGACGTAAGAATAATTAAGATAAACATAGTCAGACTTTTAAGTTTATTGGTGATTTTTATTTAGTCATTTGAATGTATGATAATCTACTTTTATAATTTTTAAAAACACTCAATTGGCAGTAGCTTGCATTAATAATGTGACGAGTTCATTAATTTTGAGGGATTTAATTATTAATGGGGTGGGTAGTGGATTGATTTATAAATTATATTAATAAGTTAAATTATAACATATAGTTGAGCACTACGTATTTCAAAAAATATTTAAATAGTTTAAATATAAAACCGTTAAATAAGTGGTCAATTTTGAACCAAAAGGTGGATGCCAAGGGTATTTTTGACCCAATAGGTGAGTGGGAAGGGTATTTTGGAGCCAATAGGTGGATGAAAAGTAATTTTGTACCATTTCCAATACTTTGAAGGTATTTTAGGCCCTTTTCCGTAAGTTATATTGGGAAATTAATTATGTAAGGACCTGCCATTATTTCTCTCTATTTTTTTTATTGTTTCATAATATATTGTAGAGTTTTAAAACATATAAGAAAAGTGAAGTATGGGTAGAACCCTATTAAAAGATAAAGATTAAAAAACAAAATAAAATTCTGTAATAATAAGTAAAAATAAAATGAGAAAAAGATATTAAGACAATTTAAATATATGGTTTCATTAATATTATATAATATTTTTAAATTACAAAAATATTTAAAACAATTTAGTAAGATATGATTTTAGTGTTTTGATCAAAATGTCCCTAAGATTAGAAGTCCCCTAGTCCATTAGGTTATGGGTACTACATACGATTCTAGTATTTTTTGTTTAGTTAAATCTAAATCTAAATGAAGTTCATTCCTAATTTTTCTTGTTATATTCAAAATTTTCTTTATGGTTTTTCTGAATTGCATTAAATAATTTTAAAGAATTCTAGATGCAATAAATGTTTTGTTATGCGTAATTGATTTTGTATCATTTTCACTTAGATAATCCAACATATTTTATTTTATTGAGATAAATAAGACTATTAATCATGACTTCAAATTTCACGAGTATAATCTACACAAAAGAATTCATTTAAATTTTTTGAGATTTCATCTCCAAAGAATAAAATCAAAATGAATCTTTTTACTCAATATCTGTGCTTTTAAAATTTTATTAATTAAATAATATTTTTATAAAATAATAATATTTAAAGATTCGGATTATATTAACTTAGATAGAAATTACATACCTGTTTTCAGCTGAAATTTGTAATTCGTCGATCCCAATCGCCAGCGAAGCTTCCTCTTTTTATACTGACACACGTACGCCGCCTTTGAGAGTGCGTCACACACACACACATATATCTTCACCCTCTACGCTTCCGAGTCCTCTCGAGACCCTTGGACCGTTCACTCCGAGGATCATCATCTTCTCTACACCAACTTTTTTCTTTTTCTTCTTCGCTTAAGATGCCTCGTACTTCTTCCAAAAAGGGTTCAACTGGTTCTGCAGCATCCACCAATCCTGCCGCCGATTTGTTTCGTTCTGGTAATTCTTCCTCTTCCTCAATTTTTAATTTAATCATTGATTTCAATGCATCTCTTCCCACAATCTTAATTGCCTTTCTCTGTAATGCCTGTCTGATCGTTAGAGTTTCATAGATCATGTGTAATCCTTACCTTATAGATCAGGTAGACCCCTTGGAAATTGGAATTTGGAATTTGGAGTGGAGATAGCTGAAAATTAATGATTCAATTTGCGTTAGCGGCTTCCTAATTTTGGAAATTTATATAGAGTTGAGTCAAATGTTCATGATAATAGGGTTTTAGTGTAATAACTTGAACTGCATTGTTTTTAGATTGTTGTTTTTAGTCACTGCCAAGCTTTTTGTGATCATTAGAATCCTCATTTAACTGAACAATAGATAAAGAAAACGAACCCTATAGGTTAGAAGTTTGTTTTCTCCCATATCCTGTGGTGCGTTAAGGTTTCACCGGCTTACCTTTTAAGTTCTAATCACTCTTCCTCCTGAGCTCAAACTAAAAATGAAGGCGTAATCATTGAGTTCATCCCAAGATAACATCCTCTTTCCATTAATCCGTCTGGAGGCTACAGTTGATCCTAAAGGTTGGACCCATAAGGATTTATAGGTCATCTAAAAGAAATTCTTTGACGTATCTATGTTGTTTTTATTGTCTACATCGAGATGCTTTTGAATATATTTTTCTGCTGTATTTGATCTTTAAGAAAATCAATTTGATTTGGTGTTTGTCTTGTAGCGGCTGAAGCATTTTCATAGTGCTTCAGAACTATTCTACTGGTCTATTTAGACCTCTTGGACATGAATGTTCCTTTTTCCATTTATGTTCGATGTTGAAATATAATGTATGCACTGTAGATGCATTACACTATCTCACTTTGTTGTCAATTTGCTCAGCTTCAAGTAAAGCAGCAAGTAAGGAGCTAGAACGTATCGATCAATTATTTCATACATATGCAAGTTCTTCGTCTGGTATGATTGAGTAAGTATGCATTACCATTTTTATTTCCCAGCAGTGTAGTTCATATTCTAATAGTCCTACCATTACAAATTATCTTTTGTTGTTTTCACTTGTAGTAGTCCATAGGAAATCTAAGATTTTAAGCAAGAAAGTTATGAATTGAATAAAGAGAGAAGAATATATGGATATTTCAGGGGTGGATGTACATTATAAGTTCTGGGTTCAATTGAACCTACTAGCTTTGGCTCAAACCCTGTTTATGTGTTGAGAGATATGCTAAATATGGACAAATATAATTTTTATTTGAGTCCAGACTCAATGATTTCTGAACCCATCCTGGATCCCCTCTGAGTTTGTCATCCAACTTTTTCCGCCTTAAATGCAGTTTCACCAGCTTGTTTAAGTTCCTCAGTTTTGCAATCAATTAATGTGCTTTATATTTTTCATTGTTAGCCCTGAAGGAATTGAGTTTCTTTGTTCTGATTTGGAAGTCGAACATACTGACGTCAGGATATTGATGCTTGCATGGTAAGATCCCTTTACCGGATTACTTGTCAGTATGTATGAAGTATCATGAATCTTCAGAGGTTTAATAAATATTGTCTTTGAATTTTAGGAAAATGCAGTCTGAAAAACAAGGATACTTTTCCCTGGTATGTCTTTGCGTTGGCTAGCACTAATATTACTTTAGCATTTCAGAATCAACTGCACTGTTTTTGCTGTTTCTATCAACTTACCTGTTATTGCTGTTAATTCGATTACCGTAGTTGTCAAATAAGGCTGGTGACCTTAGTCCTCACTAGTGGGACTACATTGGGTATGTCGTTGCCGTTGTTGAATAAAGCTGGTGTTTGTTCTCCAGGCATATGTGTGTGCTTGTTATCTTAGGAAGTTTGTACCAAAGGGTAGGTCAAGGGTGCTGAAAAGTTGATCTAAGTCTCAAGTTTATTAAATGCTTGACCTCTCTTAGCCCATGTGCTGATTAACAGAGTAATAACATAGGAAAAAGGCAATAGCCAGGTAGAATTACAGTCGCATAGTTTTCCCAGGCCAAGCTGTATCCCGGAAAACATAGCAAGTTAAATGGAGGAATTGATGTGCGTCTTTTTGCTTGGGATAATGAAGAATTATGCTTTTGCCACCTGTGACTTGGATATGCCTATTTGAGCATGTTCAGATTTTTTTATAGGGAGAGATACTCTTTTGTCTAGTATGACATTTAATACAACGGAACTGAACATTTACATGCGCATTAGAGAATGTTATGTTAAGAACTCATCCCAGGCTTATGGTTTGGAAGTAGTTGCCCAATGGTTTGGTGGTTAATGAGGGGGGGGGGGGGACAATGAGATTACAGTTTTAGATCCTAGTGGAGGCAGAAAGCAAGTACTAGGTTATTTCTTCCATCTTCTAGGTTGGCATATATGCTAGTAGGAGTTAGCAGGTACCGGTGGAATAGTAAAAGTAATTGATTCAATACATTTCTTATGTGTACGCATAGGTATAATATTGGACGTGAAGATCTTTAGTTGAGTCACATATTGCCATCCACTTTCGAATTTTTAGAATTGGACTTATATGGGTACAGGGCGAACAGTTTTAAAGCAGACTCCCTGCGAATACTAAAAGAAAAGCACCTACCTAACAAGATTAAGCGAATTCCTGAAGATATCAAATTTGCTTATCTCACTTAGCTTGACTGAATACATTATGATCTGCACTTGATGGTCGTTGGTTCGATTTTGATAGCCACAATCTTTCTTGACGTGCCCGCAAGTTGGACCAGACACCACTCGCATTTAAAAGAAGTGCTTATTGTAGGAAAATCAAGTCGATATATTAGTTGATCTGTTACACTATTGAAAGGCATGCATTGGTTTGATGTTGTAATGAAGCATCACTGATGGTATGTTACTTGGATCTCTACGTTACTCGATTCATAATTATGCTTGAGTTGTCGGTCCAATTAATTGTAGCTTAGCACACAGATTTACAGGAGGGTTGCCTTTGTGCCAAAGTGAGATTAGGCTTTGACATTTTTACTTTCATTGAGCAAGCAGTAGAATCCATCACTTATAAAATGCAAGAAGACACATGTATATCAGCTTTTCCTAGGAATGCAACTATTTCAGATTTCCAGTCATTGTAGAATGTTTGATTTGGCATGATAACAAAATTTTCCCACTCGTTCCTTTTGGAAATCTGAAATAATGATTTGAACCCATTATATTGTTGTTATGTTATGCAGTTGCCCTCTACTTTTCAGCTTGTTACTTTTTTTGCTTATACTTGCTTGTGTGCTTCTTGACGTTGGCTCGCCATTGTTTTGACTACTAGAACGAGTGGCGGAAAGGCCTCAAAGCATTAAGAGCTGACACAGTACAGAAATTGAAAAAAGCACTTCCAGAACTTGAGAAGGAGGTACTTGTCATATTTTAACTTCTGCTCATGCTAAGTGAATTTTTGGGTACCCTTCTGCTGTGAGGAGTGTTGTTCTATTCCTGCTAATATCCAAATTTTCTTTTCTCTACAAGGTTAGAAGGCCATCAAATTTTGTGGATTTTTACTCCTATGCATTTCAGTACTGCTTGACAGGTATGGTGCTACCACTGTCGCCTGTTATGTAAACATTAAGTTATGTTAATTCATGGAGGGAAAGATTCATTGATCAGCTTTAGACTGAAAAGATAACAAAGATGAAACAGAACATAATAGCTTTGTTATATTTTAAAGTATATAATTAAATATAAGGCTTTGAAGCTGGGAAGAACATCATGTCCTCTTATGCTAGGTTTAGTTTTTGTTTTCATGCAGTAACTATTTCTTAAATGGTTTTCCCATTCATTGCAAGTTCCGGGGGCTGGCTGTGAAAGTTGGGACATTGAATTGGATCTTTGAACTGTGTCTTTTTTTCTTCTGATTACCAATTTTTCTTTTTTTTTTCCTAGAGGAGAAGCAGAAGAGCATAGACATTGAGAGCATTTGTCTCCTGCTGGATCTCGTTTTAGGGTCTCAATTTCGGCCCCAAGTTGATGCTCTGATTCAGTATTTGAGAGTGAGTACCCTATGCTCCTCTTGCTATTTAATAGTCTGAGTTTTAATTCACTTAAACTGTGCATTTGCTCGGCAGGGTACAAGAAGAATATAATTGTTATGTTTTACTGGTGTGAATTTGATAGTGCCCTTTAGGATGCTTTTGGAGTTCTTTTTATGGTGAGAAGTATTAGTTTTACCGAAAAATCGCAGCTGCAATCTATAGCTCCTTTAATTGTGGATGCTCATCGACCTCGCTGTAAAAGGCGACTGTCCCGTTGAAAATCATGCCTGATTTTTGTCATTTTGTCATATTTTAAAACCCAAAGAAGAGTGAAGGGACAGAGTAAATCTTTCTTAATTATAGTAATAAGTACACTTACGTGCTTGTTTACTGATGCAGATGCAGGTTGATTACAAGGTTATAAACATGGATCAATGGATGGGATTCTTTAGGTTTGTTAACGAGGTAAATCTTCAGTTCACTTTGTCAATTCTTTTGATTACCCTATTTGTGTCGTCATCTTATATGAGCAATCTGGTTGTTATCTGACAGTTGCTTCCATCAGAAGCCTTGTGGGGACTTTGAGGTCTGAACGTTAAAAGATTAATGTCTCATCTCCTGACTTGATGTCTTTGTGCAACAGATAAGTTTTCCAGACTTGAGCAATTATGACTCGACCCTTGCTTGGCCACTAATCCTGGACAATTTTGTCGAGTTAATGAGAGAAAAGCAGGGCTAAGAAGTCAGCTGTTCGGCATGTCACTGTGTGAACCAAATAATTTCTTTATCTGGAAGTATGTTTTCTGTTTCCATATAGTGAATGAATCTTGAAATTTGTTCGAGATGAGTTTTGCTGATAATACAAGTATCATTCAGATGCAGGAGAGCCCCGTTCAAGCCGCACATGAAGCTGTGCATACCATTGTTCTTAAACACACCATTGTTCTGAAAAATGCTGTTTTCTTCCCCTCTCCCCCACCCCTCAGCTTGTATGCTAAGATATAGATCTATTCTTTGACATAACTATTTGTGCTCAACATGAATAGTAATATTTACTGTAATTTGATATCTTACTTTCAGTATAAAAATTTGGAATTTGGTTTGAACTCAGGAATCCAATCTACTATATTCGTTGGTGGGTTTAAGTAAGTGTTCTAAGTGATGCACTCTAATTATGCATTTAGATGCCTTAACAAAATTCAATAGTTGAATGATTTGCCTGGCAGTAGATGGTTAAAGGTCTCGTTCCATCAACTTTTTCACTTTAACACATCAAGTCTCATATGTTTTAAAAAAGAAAAATGAATGTACAATCAAAATATAAGTTTTAGGTGAGTTTTAAAGATAATTTGTCTCTTACATTAAATTATATTAGATATAAAATAACCGTCAGAAAATATGGTGTAATATAAGTTTTAGGTGAGTTTTAAAGATAATTTGTCTCTTACATTAAATTATATAAATATAAAATAACCGTCAGAAAATATAGTGTGTGAGTTTTGTTGCTCTTTTCTTTTATATATTTCGTTTTTGAGTTCTGAATATAAAAAAAAAAAATCATAATAGAAAAGGGCCTATTTTGATATTAATGATGGGTAGATTCATTTTTTAAGTTGCAGAGCCTTCAAGTCTAATATTTAATCCTTCTTTTTTTACTCTTATGACACAAATTTATTAACTTTTAAAGATAATTTGTCTCTTACATTAAATTATATAGATAAAAAAGTCATAAACCATATGTGTTATTATTTGAAATCTACTCAATAAATCTGTCATATTTTTCTTTATAATTTGTTAATAAGTAATATTTATTTTCTTTTCTTAGTTTCAATTTTACATGATTCGTTTAAGAAAACAAGATTAAAAGATATTTAATATATTTGACATATTTTTAGTTTAAACCACAAAAAATCTTTAATTTCTTAAAGTTCATGCCAAGTCAATAAAATAGAGAGATTAATATTTTTAATTTATCACTCACACATGAAATTTAGAACTAAGAAGCTGAGCATATTTCACAATCAAGATGAAGTCCTATACATGTGTAATTTATTTTAACGAACACAATTCTTTTAGCATGCTACGCTATGTGTTTTTGGTGCTCTTTTTCATCCACAATTTAGGAATAGTAATTTTATTATCTTACCAATTTAGTGAAAGAATTGAAAAGTCTCAAAACATAAATGCATTTTTTAAGAATCTCTTTAAAATTAAATGTTAAACTAAGATGATATATTTTAATACATAGATCATTACATATCATATTAATTTCCTACCAATATATTTTTATCTTATTTCAAAATTTATTCATTATACAATCTACTATAATTAATTAAATTCATTGGGAAAAAATGAATTCTTCAAAGGTCAAAAAGATGGGTTGAAGGCCAATGTGATTGTCAATTGAGATGGTAACCCAAACATATATGATTGGAGATTTCATAAAGTAGGTTTACCACGGATAATAACAAGTTAATATTGACACTGCACACTAATATTATGTTTTGGATCATTGTTATCTATTGTATTGTATTGTATTGTTACTATATCTATAATGTTTGTTTTGATTGTTACTTAAAATGTATTGTACTGTATTGTTAACTTTCGTTGTTACGTAACAATGAAAACCCCTATTTTATGGAACAACCAAGTTGGTGTTTCCCATTGTTACTTAATTTCTTTATTCAATTATATCTTTACATAATATTTCAAAATACTATTTCACCCTTTACCTTAATTAATTAAATTTAGTCAAACCTCTTACCCTAGAATAATTAAGGATATTTAAGTAAATTTATAAATTAAAATATAGTACGATACAATCAAACCAAACAATTAAAATGTTACCAAACAACAAAAAACCAGGGGTGGCTCGACAATGTTAAAAAAAAAACATGTGTCTTAGGACCCCATATTTAAGGGGCCTCATTTTTAATAATAATAGGTTATAATTTATTAATTTTTTTAACAAAATATTGCATACTATTTATAGAAAAAGTAAACTTTTCATGAAAATGAAGAAATTATTAGAAGAAATTTGACATATTTGAAATATTATATCTCATGAAAAATAATGGTTTATTATCAATTGAAAACTAGAAGAAATCAATTATATAAAAGTTATTAACAATTCAAGTTTAAGGCCCCGTTTAATTTTTTATTTAGGTCATTAATATGCTTGAGCTGCTCCTGCAACAAACAATACAATCTTAGCCAAACATTGTATCTACCATACAATACAATACATTATGAAACAATGAATAACAATGACCCAAATAAAGTGTAACTGAGAGTGCTTGAACTGCTTTTGAAAATGAGGAATGAGTTATTCATTTTTAATGAATTCATAGTCATTAATTAAGAATGGTGAATTTAAAGCAGTATGCACATGATGAATTCACCTATATGAGAAGTGGAGTGTGGTTGCTCCTATGAGACTTTGGCCTAGCCTCTACAACTCTAATGAATATCAGACACTCGCATGACCTTGTGGCGCAAAATCGCGTTGAACAAAAAAATTGTCGAGGTCAAAATGTAATTGATAAAATCTCTGATTTACAATAAGAATTATTTATTCATAAAAATATTATAGTTCACCAGTAATTTTATAAATTAAATTTTATCGATCTAAATTTGATTCATAGTCCAAAAGACACCAAATCTATTACATTCACGTGAAAATCTTAATTTATGTGCATAAAATCTTTTGAATATGCGGAGGTTTGTAAGGAAAATTGTGGTATATTTCAAAAGATAATAAATATTTGTAAGTTTTTTTTTTTTATCTCTTGACACCTCTATACCAAATTGTCATGTTTCATGTAAGGGAATTGAACAAATGGCTTAATTCATCTCTTTGTATCCCTATATATACTTCACACTTTTATTCATTAAGACGAAAAGAAAATAAACATTCTGCCTTTGTTTCCAATCTCTCGTTTCTATCTTCCATTTTTGCTTTTGCTTATTTTAATTAATGGTTATTTTAATTTTTAGGACCGTGCCCAACCTTGAGAGCTAATATTTTACTAAATAATAAGTTTTATTATTATTGTGAATTTTTTTTTATGTTCATCTGTGTTCAGTGCAATAAGAAATCTTTTTTTTTATTGAACTTAGTGACTTATAAGAAACGATAATGCAAGATTTGAATGCGAAAGTTGTTATACTATATTTTCTTTTTCTTGCTGATTTGGTTGATTATAAGATACTTTTTTAATGTAGAACTCAAATAACATCAACAAAAAAAATAACATAAATTGTGAAAGAGATGATGATAAAGATAGTGAAATATATATCTTGGAAACGCTGATGATGATAAAGATACTGAAGTATATATCTTGGAAATGAAAACCTCCTATATTTTTCATTTCACCGATCATAATAAGTAAATAAATTAAATTGTGATGTAAAAAGATTAATAGATGATAGAAGATGGTATTTTTTTTCAATTTATTATTTCGGTACAATTTGTGAGTTTTTTAGCCTGAGCTTTTCTAAAATATGAAAGTTATTATTGTGGATTCTCTTAAAGAGTTATTTCTATTATATTAATTGTTAATGATTTTTCTCTATATTGAATATGAAATATTTGAGGTATTTTCTACTGTTTTCTTCCTGTTAAGCAACTGGATCTGGCTTGGAATAGCCTTTGTTGATGTGTATTAATTTTCTGCTTAGTATTTGTTGATTGGATTCATAGGTTCTCAATTTGCAATTGTTTGTTCCTTGTGGATGATGTGTGCTGTAACTCTCTGTTTAATATTTGTTGATTGGGTTCATAGGCTGTTAGAAATTTATTACTCCCTAATTTCTGTATTTTTATTTTGAGACCTGAATCTTCTTTGTGTCGAGAGGATTTAACCGTCGGTATCTATTGAGAGTTTGTTGGTAAGCTGTGCTGCACTTTGAAACAATGAATTGTAGATGTTATTGGGGTAAAATCCCAAGTGTATCTCCAACAATGAGACAGTCCCAAAGCGTGATATAACTATTGCAGATAAGACGTATGATTAAACACCGCAAACAACTTTTCTTGTAGAGATTTTGACTCTCTAGCAATGTGAATTATCCATCTTTTGATGTAATGAGGCTAGCCTAATTGAGAGTATTAGATTTTTATTTGTTATTTTTAAGAATGTTCACTAGGATTGGTTAGTAAAACAATTGTAAATATGTCTCATTGTCTTTGCTTAATAGCAATTCAGCACCTTTTGCAGTTTATCATATGTTAGTTGTGTATTCACGGTTCTACATTTTGTCTAATGGAGCATTTCAGTTCTTGTTATTGCATCCATGAGCAGTTTATTTAAGACGTGATTAGTTCTGAAATTAAACACATCTTCTCATAAAGTATGGTTGCCAAATTTGAAAAAAATCAGTACAATGTTTTTATCACTCAAAGCCATATCAATGGAAGTTCTTAGATTAGTTTTTCCTAAAGAAAGGCACATGCTTTAACCATAGCCAATTTTTCATAGTGTCGTACTAATTTTCTAATAACAATATACCCATTATCCGGTCTTACTTCACAAAGTGTACATAAACTCTATCGTTACCTTAAAAGAAACAAAGATTGTATAGTTCAAGCCGCGGTGCATACCATTGTTCAAAAAAATGCTGTTTTTTCCCGAGTCCGGAGCTTAAACGATACAAAATATTAACAAAAATTTTAAAACGGTATATAAAATTTTATATTAACCAAAACGGTAAAATCGCTGCACCAACAGCGGCTTACCTCACGCTGCCTCTGCAGCGATTTTGCAAAATCTGATAAAAAAAATTTTTTTTACAAAATCGCTGCCTAGGCAGCGATTTTAAAAAATAAGGAAGCGATTTCATAAAAAAAAGTAATTAAGAAAATCGCTGCAGGGCAGTGATTTAAAAAAAAATTGTAATCGCTGCCTCTTCGGCGATTTCCTTAATTTTCTTTTTAAAAACAAAAATTATGAAATTGCTGCTCCCAGCAACGATTTTTTCATCTTTTAAAAATAAAAATAATTTTTTTTGAAATCGCTGCCTAGGCAGCGATTTTGTAAAAAAAAAAATAAAAAAATTGTATAAATTTCTGCTTAGGCAGCGATTTCATTTTTTTTAAAAAAAATCACATT